GTTTCGTGTTGCTGGTTGTTTCTTCTTTACTGGAGACTAAAAACAGCGCAAACTGACCTGTGCATTTCCTGCACGTTCGGCGGCTCCAATCGCGCCAAAAAAAGTCGAGGAAAGCTCGGTTAGCAATATAGCGGAGCGTCGGGGGGGCTTCAATTTCTTTAAGTACAGTTCAAGAACATGTGTGGCCATAAATGTTCGTAGGGTGTGGAGAACAAGTGCCTGCGGCGCTGCAAAACCATGGAAAAGCAGCGGCGTGGAAAACTTCTGTCGCGTACGTGCAGAAACAATCGAAACTCTTGCTATTTTTCGCCCGGTGACTAAAATTTTGCCGACAAAACGGCCCCCGTTTTGGGGTCCAGAAATGGACCCCAAAATGGAGGCCACTCATTCAGTCTCAATTTGATTTACTTGTGTCCGGACGACTTGGCCTCCGTTTTTGGAGTCCGTTTCTGGACCCCAAAACGGGGGCCGTTTGTCGGCAAAATTTTGCCGCCGGTCGAAAAATAGTGCAAGTTTCGATTGTTTCCGCAGGTACGCGACAGAAGTGTCGCATACCGCTGTGCGCCGCGAGCAATTGTTCTCCACGCCCTGCGAACGTTTATGCCCACACATGTTCTTGAACTGGGGAGGCCCACTTTGGCGACTCTGGAATCCACTGCATTTTTGGCGCTTGGTTTTGGGGCCGTCAATGGACAAGATTTTCGCACGCGTCGTGATCCGCTTGGCCGCTGGTCTCTGGAAGCCCAGTGTCTCTGACGCAGGGCCGCGCAGGACCAGCTGGAGTGGAAACTGCAGGGAGAGAGCACGGGTCCTGCAATCACGCTGTGGGAGAATAGAATTTGTTCATAGAACAAAACAAGTTTGCAGGACCACTTCGCCGACTTGCTTTTGGATATTAGTGCACTCCAGTCCGACCTGCTTGTGGTGGAAGCGAGGGCCCGTAGGCAATTTTTTGGGGCAAGTGCCACAAAGAAGTGGACAATCATCGATTGGAAAGTTAACGTGTCAAAACCTGCGCCAACACACGGTGAACACCAATCTCCGGCCCAATGGCCACACACGCGCATATTCACCGGGCAAACAAAACTTGTTCTCCAACCGAGGTCCTCTACCCAAACCTACAACCAAGAACCAAACAACATCCAACAGACTTACGCAAAGCCAACCTTTTCACGTTCACCTAAACCAACAAACGACAAGCAACCGACCAACCAAAAAGAATGGTTGAGCGCGAAGTACACTTGGAATGCCTTGGCGCAAGTGTGGAGCGCCCCGTTTGAAGAAGCGCAGGGACTACAATGTTAAGGTTGCGTTTCGTGGCTTTCCGTTGGTCTTTGTGTTTTTCTTGGAAGTTCCTCACTCCGATCCAATTAAAACTTTGTAAAACCCAAACGAGGTGTCGGTACCGCGCATTGTAATAGAGGGCCCGAGCGGTACCGAAGCCGTACCGAGGCGGTACCGCGCATTGTAATAGAGGGCCCGAGCGGTACC